CTTGGATGCTGACAGGTAGACACATTATCTTATTCATAAACAATGTGAAAACCATTGAGATAAATATTGTTTTCTGCATACTAGAAGATGTGTTTAACTACACCAAATAGTGATAGAGTATGCACTTCTCTTTTAAGGTAATTGATAAACCAGTTAAGGATATCAAAAGTTATATGAAAGTTCTTATGTATTTATAGATATCTGTGGCAATCTACCAGGTCAGAAATTTTTCAAAGGTCTGCAAGAAATTCCACAGTGTACCCAAACTTTTCAGTCTTGGAAACACATTGTGTATTAATGTTATTATTATGGAGTACTTTGTTTCAAACCAGAAGTCTCCAAAGGCCTCTCAATGTATATCATTATCAGCTATTTAAAATTTTTCCAAAACTGTGGATGTTTGTACCTAGATGGGGCAAATCCTGTGACATGCGTTAGTAGAAGTAAGCACCTTATATTGTGAAAAACTGACATCTTTAAGATATTCCAGTTTGTCACTACACGTGCATGTGTAGATGTGGCAGACAGCTGGTCTTACTCTGATGTTACACTGCATTAAATGTAAAAATTATCCAGCAAATTCTCAGAAACAGAGAATTAACATATGAGTTTTCCTGTCCTTACCCCCACTGCCACCTTCAAAAGGAGCCCAGAACTGGAAACAAGCATCGAAATGAAAGGAGAAGGGAACTCACCACACACACCTCACATCCTTTGCAGAAATCTGAAACTGTGTTGAAGCTGTAAGGTAGAGGAAGCTTAGCACTGCTGGCAAGGTGCAAGGATGGAAGGAAAGTTCCTGGGTAACAGTTTTTTCCAGCAAGGAGTCAAGTACTGAGCTTGTGAACCAAAGTTGCAGTTTGCAAAAAAAGACTTTTTCTTCTGTCCAGAGAAGAGGAAGCTCAAGGCAGGACACAAGACATGTTTCTACCTCCTGCTCTGAGAACATACTTAGCAATGATAATTTTGTGTTGTGAAACTCTGCACTACTGAACATGACAGATTTAAGGGCAGAAACAGAAAATTAAATACTTTTGATATATTAAAATCTATCTAATGTAATCACTGAAGTACATTTGCTGTGTACAGATTCACCTAATGCTGTGGGAGAGAAAGATGCCTAGGCAGAAAGAATATAGCAATACTGGTTGGTGAGGAACAAAAAAGAACATGATGCAGGATTTCTGACAGAAAACACTTTCTGACCAATGTAGCAAAAGCAGCTCTCTCTGAAAGACTTGATATGATGCACATCAGCCTTCACTTAATGAAATAATTAGCTATCTCTGAGCTACTGCTTTCAGGCCAACTTTATCTTGCTAGGAAGACATGTGTATATTAATATATATTTGCATACATTCTGTGACTCATAGAACAGCTTGTGATTTTTTCTGAAGCAATAATTTAACCAAAATGGTTTTCATCAGTTGCAGTTTCGCTGTCCAATGCAGTCATGGGGCAGATCCTGGGAAGGCCTGTTGTGCTGTGCGTTTTTTTTCCACTCCTGTCACAGGCGTGAGAAATGCCAGAACTGAGAACAGTAAATCTGTGCTGTGCACACACATGCAGACCCTGACTAACATGTGTAGGAAATGCTTAATGCAGTTTCCCTTTGAAACTCTGCTTTTGACACAGACGACCTGCCTAGAACTCACGGGAAGAAGCCAATAAAAAATGTGCCTGAAGGGATGATTCTTTATCTCTTGTTGACACGGGTTTGCCTAGAGTGAAAAGGGCACCATGCACAGCAGCTTTCAGCTTGCTTTAAAGGCCCTGCTAAGAAGGAGCAACTTCTCTGTAGAACTTACATGCAGTACTTAGTGTAGCAAAACAAACCTGCTCATGTTAGAATTATATTTGTTCTTGTTAAGTATGACCCTCTTAGAGGTAGATGGCTCTGTGAAAGCAGCATCCACCCACATGGCAAAATCTCTTCCACTACAAGTTGGAATGCCCTTATTTAACATCAATACCGTATTAACTACGTTGGTAAACAAATCACTTATCTGATACATTTGGTCGTTTTTATATTTAGAAGTATGCTAAAATTCTGACTGAGAACAAGCCATCTCATTTAGCCTCTAAAAATTAAAAGTCTTTTAAAAATCTCATTTGTTTTCCTATCCTAATTAATTGGGACATTTCAAGACAAATAAGGAAAAAATATGTTATTTTATGCACAACTTTATGCATTAATGAATAAATCAGATTAATCAAATTAATAAATTTTAAATTACCATGAGGTAATTTAAAATATTATTTCAGTTGAACTAGAAAATATCAATAAGCTGAGAAAAAGTTGAGACTGGTCTTTACCAAAAAAAAACCCATAAAATTTTTAAAATCTAATATTTACTTCACTTTTATATGTGTTTATTTCTCATACTTCTGTGGAAAGAGAATTTATACCATCCTCTCAGACAATATTGCTTAGATTTTACTCAGTGGGATATGTCACTGATAAAGCACAAATCAGCAGCTGCTAAAGCAAGAAGGAAATGCTAAAGGCACGTTAGTGATCCATCAATAGCAACGGTGAAATCAGATACTGTCTTTGCATGTAGTATTGGAGATCTGCGGTAAGGTAAAGAAAATACATCTCTGGAACATGGATGAGGTCACTGTGGCTTTTTCCAAAGAGCTACTAGTTTAAAACCTCTGTCTGACAAGTCAGAAATCATTAATTTGGCCAGTCCATAGCCCATCACATAGGTGGTGTTTCTCTCAGCTAAAAAAATGCAGTAGTCCCACCTGAAAAGTAGATGCTGACAGAGAGGGAGGAGGATAGAAGCCCAAGTGCCCTAACTCAAGTCTTTATTGACATCATTAAGGTCATGGGAGAAGAAAGCATTCCTGCAACCCCTAATTTGAAAGCTGTTTTGTTTGTAGACACATTTTTCCCCTTGTGTTGGTGAAGGCAAGTTTGTAATTAGCTATGTGTTTTATCACAAATGATCGGTAGAAGATTACCCCTACAATTTTGACTGAAATCAGACTTGATGCTGTTAATGTGATACGTGTGCAGTGAGGCCAGATATTAAGGCTACTGTGAATCAGACAGGCATAGAACACTGTCATTTCTGTGGATTGCTGAAAGCTCCCTATACAGCAAGTGGATCAAATACAGGAGAGGAAATTCAAATGCAGCAAAATTGTCTTGACTTCATTGTCTGAAATACAGTCAGCTTTAGGCAGGTCATTTTCTGACCCCTTCCTAGGCATTTTGGTTTTTATTATTTAAAGAGGAGCTTTGAAGTGAGCTATGTAAATTCTCCAAGAGTTTAATTTTATTAACAGGTTTTTGGTTAGATAGTCCATATCAGTACTTTGGGACCTCCATAGCTGACTGCCACTTCCTTTCTCCCTGGCCCAATTAATTCAGATCTGCTGGAGTGCTGCAGGGATCCTGCTGCCTTCATCTCTTCTGAGGAACAAGGATGGAGGGCTTGAAGGAACAAAGGGTATTTTATATTTGTCGATATTGTCATTAATTTGTTCTGACTAGGGTTGAAATGAAGAACAAAGGCTGTTGAATGTGAGGATGCAAGTATGAAATGGTATATGTTAAAAGTAGTAGCTGAGTATTTAAGAAGAAACTGAATGATATAATTTGCAAAGCTGCTTAACTGAATTGTTGTCCATTGATTACTTTTCTATTTCCATCATATTGTTTGTATGTATTTTTCAGCAGCTGGAGAATTTTTTCTTAGGCTTTAGAAATCTCTTTTGGAGCAAATCTTAGCCTCTCATCTCTGAGGTCATCTGCAGATTTCCTTAGGCTGCTATTGTATGAATAATCACTTGTCTCACTTAAGAAATTCTCTTTGTTATACATTGTTAAATGCTGACTCCTGCAGCTGCTATGACAGATCACTTTGCAGGAATCTACAAGGAGAATTGTCTCTGATGTTAATAGCAAATCTTTGCTGTGGAACAAAATAATACACTGAAGAAAGCACGAGACAATTTGAATTTATAATATTTTAACACTGAAGAATAATAAAGGATGAAGCTGGTCGAAGTGCACCCATTTTGAGATCTATACTTCCAAAAAGTGAAGAAGGACCTTTAAACACTTTTGAGTAATTTTGGGCCTACGTATATTATTTGTTGCTCCCATCAAGGCAGTAGTGACATAGTAATTTGGCAAGGAGAAGGGGAAAATACAATGGGCTAGCCCAGAATTCACAATAAGAGCAGCTTGCTATAGGCAGGCTGTAGATGAAAGGAAAATGCTTCTTTCCAAAGCATGAGTGATAGCTTCTAGTGAAGCACAATAATCTAAATGACCTGAAGATTTGTTCTTCCACCTCAGCCTTTTTGTGATGAATACCTTTCCTAGATATCTCCCTGATCACTGAAGGTCTCTGCTGACTTCATGCTTTAGGTACTCAAGAACATCATATCTAACAGATGCCTTTGTGAAAGGTTTTCCTGCTATTCTTCAAAAACCAGAGGTATTCCCAGTAGTTCCCTCTTTCTCTTGGTCTGTATCCAAGTACCCTGTAGCCAGCATCTTGCATTTTTGCCCATTTTGTGTCTGCTCTTGATATGCAGACACCTTTATCTGTTTTCAAAACTTTCTGCTTTCTTTGCTCATGTTGAAAGAGCATTGAAATGGGCAAATCTTGTGTCTATTTTTGTGCGTAAATAGGTTTGAAACTATGACCTGCCAGAATAAGTTTTTTTCTGCAATGCTTTTAAACAGCAACCATTACATACCAATGTGAATCCATATGAAATGAACTCCAGTGATGGGCTTCTTCCTAGACCATGTCACGCCATCAGGTTGGCATATGAGATCTTACGGTGCCCTGCATCTGAAATGCTCTGTCCATGCTCTTTTTGTCCTAATGGTTGTTTTCTGTCTTGCAACTTACTTTGTGTGCGTGTTTTATTTTAGTCTGTTTGTTCCTGTGTCATTTGCAACAACATCTCTTGTTTGTTATCACATTCAGCAGTTAGTTTTGTAGATGGTATAGTGAGGTGATGCTCATGGCATGGCAGCATATGGTCACCTGAATGAGAGACTTGCCAGTGGAGACTCTGCATCATTACTGATAGCAGAGAATGTTGTTGCTTCATTCTATTTAGCTTTAAATCAGTCCATGTTCTGTCTGAAGCTCCTTGGTTTGAAGAAAATTTAGTTCTGCTAAGGAGAAAAAATGGAAATACCTTCATTCAATATGTATGTTTCCTCACCTGAAGCCCCTTGGCTGGATTTTCTACTGCACTGTCACAAACCCCATCAATCTCTTCAATTTCTTCAGAAGGAAGAGAGGATTTGCAGGTTAACCAGCTGGAAACGCAAATATGGATAAAACCAGACATACAGAAGACAGATGTGGACTTTTCAGAAATTCTTAATGCAATACAAGAAAGTAAGTTCTTCCTTGGATACAAAATTGTGTTTACAGTAGAAGATTCAATTGAGATGTATTGAAATTATAACTGAAGGCAGACACAAAGTGATGAACTGAATGATAAGTATCTATTATTAAAATCTCTCAGGAAGTTCAATGGATTATTGAATGCTAGTAAGAAATTTTTTTCTATCAGAGAAGTCATAGTAAGATTTGAATTGCTGTGTGCCAAAGGATTCCAGCACTATATATTTTCTATGCAGACATAATCAGAAATAGTAAGATTCCTGGTAGCCTATTCAATGCTTTGCACTCCTGAGCAGCTGTGTGAACTAATAATATTATTAAAATGCTGCAGTTGGGATTTGAAGTTCCAGTTCTTCCAAAGTTTTGGGCTGTATTCACGTGTCTGTAGCTGGTATTTTTTGGGAGAGTCATGAGATTGTCACAACAAGTGAAGGTCCGCGTGTCTTAGATGCTGCACAAAATTATCTCTTTTTATTTGTAATGGGCTGTGGACTAAGAATTAATTTGGTTCACACTTCTTAAGTCCAACTGCAGAATGATCTCAGCACTTGTGATAGAAGTAGAGCTACTCTTTTTAATAACTGTGGAAGACACCCCCCCTACCCAAAACTGATGCAAATCTGGAATCCAATAAAATCTGGAATTTCAGAGAGAATATTTCATAATAGTTTGAAATTCTTATGTAGGCTAACAGTCAAAATGCAAGGGCTTCCTGGCTTCCTTATTTTCCAGTTTGATTTTAAACTGGGTGTTTGGTATAGCAGTTTTCTAGGGTGAAAAACAGCAGCTTACATTTTAGAGTGATAAAGGATGAATAAGAATGTGTAAAAACCCAGACTCTGCCTGATTTTTGCTACATGAATAAGGAACCAGCCAGTGGTAGAGTCAGACTGTTTAGTGGTGGTACTAGTTTGGGGGTGGAAGGAAAATGCACAGGTTAGTATGATGATGGGGGTAATAATTTGAAATTTATTCACCTTATTACTTAAGCAACAGGTTCAGGATGAATTCCATGTTTTCTGATTTAAAAAGCTTTTCCCATCAGAAATCTTAATGTGAAGTTTTGTCTTCTCCCTTCTGCACACCAGCACAGCCCAGATTTCAGCCTGGGGGTAGTCGGGATGCAGACTGCAGAAGCTGAAAAGGCTCTGCAGAGTCTTTCAGAGGTGAATAGACAAGACGGCTAAACAGGGATAAGCAATTGAATCTGGGGGTGTTTCAAGAATTAACATTTTGATTTATGGATTATTCACAATCCATTTGAGAAGGATGCAGTTTTTACAGCCTTGGAGAGAGTGTTTTTCCTTTATCCAGACCAGACACAGGTGCTGTTGGGAAGTTAACCTCCATGTCCTTTAGCTACATCTCCTTCATCACAGACAGAAGGAATTCTGTACAATCCACGTTGCAGAGGCTTGTTGTGTGTCCAGGGGAGTGTTGTCACCTGCAGTCTGTTGCAAATATCATTTAATTGGGATAAACATGTCTAAATATTCCTTCTAGGGTAGTTGCTCTGAACAGTCAATGATACTTTTATTTCCACTTTTTAGCATTGAATGATAATTTGAAAGAGACTAATGATGCTTTTAGAAACCAAATAATTTTTTCTTGCTAAGATAAGCTTAGAATATTGATCTTCAGTTAGCATTATCCAAAGTGAGAGTATATTTGTTGGTTTGGTGGGACTTCTGCTAATAAAATGACAGCAAACAGAAGCATGATCTCTGAGCATGTTTCCATCTTTTCACACAATAACACGGTCAGGTCCCATTTTTTAATGAAAGTTCTTATTTTTAGGCACTTCAATTTCAGCATCCACCTTCAGAAAGTTAAAGGAGTTATCTTGTTTTTGCGTCCTACCTTATATCAGCATCTTGATCTGATGTGACTTGTGGACCCACTGAGATAGTGTGTGGCCACCTGCTCAGAATTTATCAGCATCCAATTTGCAGAATTGTAGTTCTACTTTATCTGGGATAAAACTATTTGTATAGCCACTTTTTTCCCCCTTTTATTCTTCAAGGGATTTTAAGTTATCAAGTAATTTCGATTTTGTTTTTTTCTGCAAAACAGAACATGATGGGGAGAAAAGAGTTTGCATATTTAAGCTGATCTAAAACCAGAGGGAGAATTTTTAATATCTCCTGTAGCAATGCATGTGCTGCCCTGTATTCCTATTAAATTTCACTGCTTAAAAATACATGACTGTACAGTAGCACCAGTCTGTCTCCCAAATAATATTTATGTATATAACAAAGCCATTATATATCATTCTATTAAGGACATTAGTGAGTATATGCACATCAGGGTCTGAAGGGGACGAGAAAGATGGAACCCTGATCATCCTTTTAGCAACATTGGCCATGAGGTGTTGAGTCCATTGGAGTGGAAGGGCTGAGATACCTACAAGCAGCAGGAGAGTTATGTTGGAAGTACAGTCACCATTACTAATATAAAGCGAACAGGAATTGCTACATAAATTGTCTATTTGGTTTTGTAGGACAGTATTTTATTAATTTATTTTTAAGAATTTAATGAGACTTGGGGTAGAAAAATTTTCTCAGCAAATGCTGGGGGCCCATATTTTCGGTAGTGACCAACCAACATGCCAGTTATCTGTGTATCTCTGATATAAACAATTTTCCAATGCAGGCAATCTGGACAAGCCCGGGTAGCTAATTTCACTAACCACATGAGAGTTGCTTCCACGACTTCTTCACTGCTGGGATGGATTGTATTTTAAAATGATCTTGAAACCAAATTTTTTTTTTTTTTGGCTCCTCATAAATCCTCAGAATAATCCAGTAATTCAGTGTTTCAAGGCTACTGACACATTCGCTATCTTACACTCAAGTTCTGTATCTTAAAACATTCACTTAAAAACTATGAATTTTGCAACCCAAAGCATTACCATCACTTCAAGAAGCAGCAATTCGCATATCCCAGAGGCCTCATCTTTTAAACCAAAGCAGTCTTAATGTCAGAACAAAGACAGTTTAAGTTCCCTTGAGTATAGCGAACAGGTAAAACTTTCATTTTTACAGCTTTTATTGATGCTGTCTACAACAGATAAATGTATCTTGAATAATCTTCAGAAAGCTTCACTATTTAATTTTTTGGGAGAGGCTTTTTCCACAGTTGTTTTGAGATTGTACTAAGGTTGTAACCCTATACATATTCACATGTCACTGTCATGGAGGCACTGATGGGTTTAAATTCAGTGAAATTCAAGCATTTCAAAATGTTTTCTGTTTCAGTTGCTCTTTCTGTTGAATACAGAGATTTATTCTTCTCACATGAACATGTGTGCAAAATCTGGTCATTATCTACATCCACATTGTTATCTGATAGGGTGGAATGTTTCTAGTCTTGACTTTTGAAAGAGTAGGGACAATGAAGGACATCAGGTTAGGCTGTTCTGTGCTTTGTTGTGGCAGTTCACCTCTCTTTTATAAACATCTCTAGTATTATTTTTGTGGACTGGAATGAATGAAGATGGGGGAAAAAATCTGTAATATTACTGCTGCATGTGCGACAAATTGGAATTTCTTTGTTGCCTTTTAAGCCTCCTGTGAAGCCTCTGTAGTTTCCCCTAGGACAAGTTGGAGGCAGCCACAGTGACACTGAGGAGCTGCAGGCTCTCATCAGATATAACTAAACAACACCAGAAACTCAGAATCTCTTTTACAAACTATGCTGCTTAGGTTAGCAAATTACCCTACTATTTAGAGTGGTTTAATTTTGACATGAGGACTTCTCTGTTGTTTCTGAAACTTTTAGTAGTTTTCCAAACAAAACTCTTGTAGTTAAGAATACAATGTCTTTCATTAACCTTATCCCTATTTTATGCATGAAAATGAAGAAGAAGGATTCTTCAATATTTTGATAGGGTTTTCTTTTTTTATTACCTACAGATGTAATAATAGACTTTAGATGCTCTAAAAGACATGTACAAAAAGGGAGGAAACTTTTCCCCATGCTCATTATTGACAGGGAAAAAGTAGTATATTTAAATTGCATTGTATGTCTGTTTTAAGTATTAATATTATGGATAAAGCTCTCCTGCTTGTGAGCATGAAATATAGGCCACCTGCAGAGACTGGGGACTTAATATTATCAGTGATTTTTTAAAAGGATTCTGAAACTGGGCTATGACCCCTGAAGAAGGGAATTGTGTAAAGGAGGTCACAAAATGCTCATGAACACTGGGAGCAGTTAGTGGCTGTTAATTTCTGGCAGCTATCCAGTCTCTCCACAGTGGGGGAATGGATTTTTACACCTGCAGCCAGTAGCTAGAAATGGAACTAAGATGCTGCCAGCAATTAGAGCATTTTGGATGTTACTATAGATTCTCACCAACAGGAATTACAATTGCTTGTCACTAAATTAGGGGAGCTGATGACAAGCAAAAGCAACAGGAGTTTATTGCACAAAAGAAGAATGATTCCAAAAGTCAGTCAAACTTGCAAGAGATGTGAATAAGGATAGAGGGTTAGACTAATTTCTGTCAAGACTATTAAATATTTGCTCCCACTGTAGTCAGTGGAAGAGGCTCAGTAGCTAGGACCTTTGGGGGTCCCTTCTAACAGTTATAGCTCTACTTTCATAGTTCTGGATTTTGCCTATGAGGCATGAGATTGGAGAGCTGAGTCCATCCACAGCTGAGTCCATCCACAGCTGAAGCATGGTCCTCAGCTAAGGCATTTCTCTTCTCCTGGCACACATCTCTTCATCATGTTTTTCCTCAGACCTGTAGTGCATGGAGTGCAAAGTGAACCTGCCTGTCCTGCTCCTCCCATCTGGCAGTCACTCCAGAGCTTCATATCTGTACTTTTTATCAGGGTTAATTTACCACAGCTTAAATCTGTAGATGTAAGTGATTGCTTGATGCAAGACTGAGGGGTGTGTGGTAGGTGGATCTGAAAGTGTCAGATTTATATGCATGAAAACATGCCAAACTGTGAAAAGAGAAATATCTGCCCAGGTTTGTTTACTCGATGCCTTTCAAGAAACAGTATTTATTTAAGGCTTTCTGCCTCTGGCTGCCCCATGGGTCTGTACAACTTTGAACTTCATACTTTGTATAGTAGGTTAAAATTCTGCCTCCTAAGAAACTTTCAGAGAAAATACTAATCCAGAAGGTAGTCATTTAAGCCATTTGCCCCAAAAGAAGCTGAGAAGATAGCTAATGTCTGTTTTATTGTGAGAGCAGATTATTTATTTTTCATCAGAGAGGGGCTGTGGTGTCCTAAATCTTTATGTGGCTCGTTGAAGAAGAAAGCATTCCAACAATGCTCATCAGATTTTAAAATTGACACGGTATATTCTTATACCAGAAATAAAAAGTGTAATTATTGTTGGGTTATACTTGCTGTCTTCATTGGTTCAGTAGTGATTTGAAAGTATATTTTTATTTTTGTTTTTTAGTAGCTAAGGATGTCAACATTTTTTTTGATGAGTTAGAAGGTGTGAACAGCCCTTCCAAAGATGATGATTCCCTGCTTCACCATGGTAACTTGACCAGTACTTCTGATGATGCCAGCAGGTTGGAAGTTGTGGGAGAGGTAAGGACACAGAATTATTAATACAATATTTATTCATGCCCATTATAAAGATGTAATAAATGTATTTTGATTTAAAATCTCATTCTCTCTCATCAAATGGTGTCTAATGTTTCCCATGAGAATTGGTTTTCCATTCTAAGATTATAATGCTGAAATATAAAATATCTCAAATTCAAAAGTTTTGATTTCATACACCCTCTGTGAAAAATCTATATAAATCTAAGGCTTCAATGCTTTAGAAAATGCTGGAAAAGTTTCCCCTATATTTATCCTTTAAGGGGAAAGAGTGTGGAGAGGATTTATCTACGACTCCCATGAGAAGCATTGGGTGAGACACATTCCTTTCCAATGAAGAAAAATTACCACCTGATGGTGCCTAATGGTGATTCAGAGAACACATCAGGGAGGAAATATTCAGAATTTAGTCTCTTTTAAAATCTGTCCTAAACCAGGCAAAGTGTCATGAACCCATGATGAAAATCTGTGTCTTAATTTCTTCCTGTGTCTTTTGTGAAGAAAGGAACAATATGTCCTTTAATTTTGCCTCCCACTGCCCTGACACCCGTGGATGTTAGGATTGTTTCCTCAGCAAGTGAGGAGATCAGGGACTTCTCTCCTTTCCTCCACCTCAGGAATGGAGCTACATCTAGGCTACCTACTGGACTGGTCTGATGACACCTGCAAGTTGTGCCAGAGGAATTTTTGGCAGAGGGCTTACTGGAACAGATCAGAAGTAGCAGAGACCACACTAGTAATTAAAAAAGAGTGGAAAACCACAGGACATTGCTGAGGGCCCTGCTCTGACCCTCTTTTGTTTACTAGTTTTGATAGAGTTTAGAAGAGGCAATTAGAGATTATTTTTTTCAGGAGATAGAGGGTTTTGTGGTGCAAATTCTTTTGTGTAACACTGCTGAGGAGAGAGATAGAGATTTTCTTTGTTCTAGAAATTCAGCCCATAGAGAGCTGCACTCCTAGAATGTTTAGACAGATAATTAAAGCAACAAAATTCAGGGCACCCTGAATATGTTTGACCTTGCTCACAATTTCATCTTCTTTAATCATAGCCCTTCCTTACCTTCCCATACAATGTACAAAGGACTCTCTTTGCCTGCTTGCACCATAATAGGCTAATCTGACATGATAGTCTCGAGTTGAAATTTTGGGACCATGTACCATATGGTCTTTAACAAAAAGGAACATGAAAGGCTCATGATTTTTGCAAGTTAAAGAGGAAAAAATAACATAAAATGATCACAAGGACATGCTGCTGTTAATGTAATAATATTGAAAGAACAATATCTCAAAACCTCTTTTTTCTCTTAGATGTGTTCTTTTTTGTTTTCTTAAAGGAAAAGGGAAAACCTTTGAGGAATATAAGAAGATTTAAGGGGTCTTTTTGTAATTATGGCTGAGGAAAATAGCAATGTAGGTCACATATAGGTATTAGATGGTGGAAAAAAAGTTTAAAATTGGAAGTCTTAATGGGACTTAAGGGATGCTGCAGTCTACCAAAAAGAGTTTCAAAGTACTTGGTGTTGTGATAAGGCACGAAATGATGACACAGACACTGCTGCTCTCGAGGGGAACAAAAAAGAAGAAGCTTTTTTATTTTCTGACTCCAACATTTATAGTTTTCCAAAGGTGACAGTGGATTGGAGGGGGACAGTGCCACCTCTCCAATGCCACTGGACAGACCAAGGGTCCATCAGTTCTCTCCACCTCCATGAAAGAATGTAAAACATAGGTTATTTCAACAAACTTTCTCACTGTGTGTGAGAAAGTTTGTTGAAAGAATGTAAACATCAGAAGGCTTAACAAAGTCTTACAAAGTCAGGGCGACATACTTGGTCCCTGCTGAACTCTAGAAGGAAAAGATATATTGTTCAGATGTTGTTTGGTTTGTATGGATATGTTTGGTTAAGCCCTTTGGCCTAAAGCTCTCCTAGCATATTCATGTATATGAGTCACGTCTGAATGCTGATGGCTCCCAGCTGAGCACATGAGAATATAAAAACTACTGTATTCCTTGGAAAACAAGTGCAAATTATGCAACACATATAAGTACAGCCATAAAGATAGACAGAAATGCTGAGCTTCTTGTTAGAGTGAAGTCTTCACTGTTCTATTTTCTTCCAGGATCCCTTTTTAGATGAAAGAATGGAGGTTTGACATATGTGACTACACCACTTTTTCACCAAAAACCAGCAGGTTCTAGTGCTATATATTCAGATCTAGTGCTATATATTTTTTCTTCATCAGTTTAGGAAAACTGATTTTGATGTTGTAACACAGGTAAGGGAGGTGTAATATCTGGAGGAAGGTAGGACAAACTTATGTCTGGCATAGCATAAGCCTGTAATACCTGGATCTTGCAGAAGTCCTGCAGCTGACACTGCTGAACCAGCTCTTGCTGTCTCTGTATCTTGTTAGATCCTCAAGAGTTCTTGCAAGTCTAGATTCAATCTATAAAGTTGTCTTAGAGTCTGTAACAGAAAGCCAGAGAAAGTGTTCCTTCCCAGAGGCTGTAATAGTCTAATAGGGTTTATCAACCTGGCTTTGACATACAGTGCTCCTAAAATGAAAAGGATCTTCAAGTACAGATAAGGGTGTCCAAGCTGCCTTTCTGAGTGAAAAATTACAATATTGTAGCTGGTAGTGTTTCACAAGTCCAAGACAAGTAATTGTCCCTGGCAGTCATATTTGTAGTGGAAGAAGTCCAACAAGCCAAATACCTTGGCTGAATCTCGCAGGTACTCTTTAATATAAGGTTCTGCATTCACTGATGAGTCAGTGCAGGGCAAGCCAATTTTCTTCAGAGAAAGAAGCATGGGAAGGGGCAGATCAATTTTTCCAGTGGAGTCACTCCTGCATGTAGAGATGGACACATTCCTTATGGTACTCTCAGAATGGGTCTGAGTTCAGATGAGGAGTGTGCATTTGAAGTGGATCTCTCAATTGCCCCTACCCATGATTTTTTTGGTGGTCCAGAGCAGTGCTGGATTTTAAACCTGTATTCCTTATGGATGTAAATCGAGCAAGTCCTTTGGACCAGATTACAGTGGGCCCAAAGTGAGCTCTTAAGCCTACAGAGCACACAGAGCAGATCCTCAGCATGGAGTGTTTTGCTCTACAGCTCCTTTCCTATTACACTCAAAACACATATTGACTAACTACTGAACAAGAGGCTTGCCAGGAGGGTTAGAAATCACAACAGGACCACCAAGATGACCCACAGCCTCTAAACCTCCTGCTACACCCTTCCGTTATTTAAATAACCTTAAACACCCTTTGGGCTGTTGGGGCTTTTTTTATGTCTTCTTGACAGAGATTTTTAATGTAAAAGGATAAAATGTGCCTCCTGAGCTGTTTTCACATTTAATGTTCTATGAAAAATACTTCTCATGTCTTGATAATATCATTTATCAGCATGATATGCAGTATAGATATAAATAGTTTGCTACTGTTTTTTCCTTAGAGATTAAATCTTTTTTCTTGCCTTCTTTTTGGGCTCTAAGAACTGTTCCACTGTATTAAGCCTGCCCTAAGTTGTGTCAGGAGTTAGACACTATAATGAAGGAATGCTAGAAAAATTTCCTTCTTCCTTTAGGGAACTGGATGTACCAAGGGGATGCGACATTTGGGATACTTTCATTGGTTTTTCTATTTAATCAAAATGCCTGCTGAGAATCAGAAAGATAACTTATACTAAACTCTTTGAATGGGAAAATTGTTTTGAGGGCGTTTCCTCTAAAAATAATTTTTCCTATTATAGTGTTTGTAATTTAAATTCAGAAGCAATTCTCTTATGGAGAAAGTATTTTGAAAATTCCCTTCTTCCCCCAGACGTGAAAGTCAAAATATTCTTTTTATTTCAGAGACTTGATTGTATATTATAGGGCAGGACTGTTTTTGACAGGAATAGCAGAGTGAGTTTTGGTGAAAGAGAAGTAAATTAGCTTAATCTCCCCTTCAGCTTAGAGCTGGACTGATCTTGAGGTTCCTGAAGGTCCTTGCCCTTTATACTGCTCAGAGGGAGTGCTGTTTGTCCCATGTATCCTTCACAGTGTACATTTCCTGTATGAAAGGCTCCAACCATTGCAAACTGCCATGCAATTTCAACTGGGTTGAAAGTGAAAGCTTAAACCCTGGGCAGAACTTGTATAATGTAGAAGTAGTGTTAAATTGTGAGAAGGTTCTGTAGAGAATTTCATCTTATGACTTACTGGAAAAAGACCATCAGTTTGGTCTTTTACATCTCAGGAGAATGACCTGTTCATCCTCTTATTAACAGTGAAATCAAGTTGAGTTTTTCTCTCAGACCAAACATTTAAACAGCCTTTTTTTTTTTTTTAATAAAGGAAAGAGACACTATTTATTGCTTTTAATGATTTTGTGTGTTGCCACACCTAACACCAGTAATTCTTTCCAAACAAATCCAAATAAATTCATCCTCAGCTGTTCCTTAAGCAAGGAATATTCAGTAGTTAGTTTGATGACGTATGGCGAGGTCAGTACAGAACCTTCATGTTGTTGTCTGCATCCTATGGGGCAAAGTAATGAAAATATCCGTGCCAGGTTTTAGTGTTTCTCACTACAGTAAAATATAATGATAATGTTAATGTTCACTCTTTTCACATGTACAAAGACACTCAGACATATGAAGTTCTTAATTTTAAATTCACACTTCAGTAACATTATTCTCTGCTCTATTTTATTAGTAAGAAATTATTCCTAACCTTATGGAGAGTGGTGAGGGAGGGAGGTTTGCTTGTGTTTTCTATTCTCTTCTATCCCATCCCCATATGTCCAAGCATTTTCCTAAGACCCCCTGATGCCCTTTAAGATCCCCTTAAGTAGGGGTCTTCATCTTCCTCCCAGATGAAGTCAAAAGCACGATACGAAGGGCCTAAAACTTGAACATCTTGTTGAGTATTACTGAAAACCAATGATGCAAACAGCAATACAGCAATTATCATGACAAATTAACATTACTGAATTGCTTGTTTTTCTCTTTGCAGGAAGTACCTGATAAGAACAAAACCAATGGACTGTATTTTAGAGATGGGAAATGTCGGATTGACTACATCCTTGTGTATAGAAAATCTAATCCACAGACAGAGAAGAGAGAAGTATTTGAGAGAAATATCAGAGCAGAAGGACTTCAAATGGAAAAAGAAGTAAGAGATATTCCTTAAAAAAAACATTAATATTGAAGCTATATAGAATCTGGGGATATGATTTGTTTACTCTGAAACTCTTCACTCTGCTGTAGCAGTAGAAAAATGCTTTTAAGCATGCCTAAATATAGGCCAGAGGAGTGCAAAAGTGTAGCCTAAAGCAAAATCAGACACAGGGATTGAAGGCCAAAACAGGCCATTACAGTCATCTTTTTCAACCTTATGCACAAGTAGGCCACAAAATTTCATCTGTTGTGCTGTGCAATACAAAAAACAAGTGCTGGGTTTGAACGGCCTGAATTCTACTGAGTGCAATCCATATTTCTGCACCTAATTTTTCTTCTAGCTTCGTGCTCCACTCTTTGCTGAGGCTCCTGGTACTCTCTCCAGAGACCTAACTAGATCTCTGCCTTCCTTTATCTGTCAGCTTAGGCAAAGCAACGTGAGAAGTATTTTAGTAGTTTGAAAACAGCTTAAAGTTTCTCCTTCTGTCTTAACCCTAAGCACTGAAATAATTGGGCAGTACATATGAATCATTTATATCTACATTATTTCCAACATAATGTCCTAAATCAGTAGATCTTTTATGGACAAGAGTGTATAAATTAATGCAAAGTGTCTAAAATGCATTGATATGTTAGGTAGCAGCAGCAAGGTTTAAAGAGACCATATCTCTTTTGCCAAGCCTATGAACTTCCTCAAACTTTGATAATGTGCTTAAGCAGGGCTTAAGCCTCACTTCCATCCAGAACAGGTATTGTTTAGCTTTATTTGTGCCTGGCGGACTCACACTCATGCTAATATGCATTGTCATGCTGCCAGTGATGGAAACAGATATAGGCTTTGATCAATTATGTAGGTGTTACACATTGTCTCCCTTTCTTTCACTGAATTCTTGGTAGATGTGTAAAGATTCTGTCTGTGTACTTGACATATAGAGTTCTTTGGAGAACACTGGGGAGGGAAAAAAGGGAAGCCTTTACAGAAAAATGAGAATTTTTCGTTTTTTAAAATGTTTTTGATTGAACATGGGTATTGGTGTATGTAAGTGTATTAAGAGCATTTTACTGGTTACACTGAAAGTTACCCTAAGCTATTCTTTCAAGTAAGCTGGAAATCATAATCTTCAGTGATGCAGTAATTGACAGATGTTTTCAATGGCTGAGATTGTTCATTATTACGTTTCCTCTACAAGTGCTACTGCCTATAGGAGTTGTAACCCAACATTCAAGAACATGGGAGTGTTGCTGCAGCTATTCACCTTTACATCCTAGAATTCTGACCTGCTTCCACCAGAAGAGATGCTGACAAAGTCTCTAAAATTTGGACAGTGTAGAAAACAAATGGAGGAGGAATCCTCCCTATTAAAACATATGTGCAATGGTTTCAAATACATTTTTCCTACTTTGTGGTTTTTGCAGATTTATTACTGTGCTAAGGTCAGCAGTGAAAGCTATGAAATCACTTTATATTTTAAGTATTATGAAACTTATTGCAACATTCTGTGCTGAAAATTTTTTCAAATTGATGATTTAAATGCTTGCTATAGAGGGTTTTTTTTGGCTTTCAAGACCATTTATTTGGATTTTGCTGCCTAGGCTGCGTGAATGATCTGCCAATTTGATTATTCATTTCAGTTTTTATTTTGCTAGTGACATGCAGTTTTATTTCTTACTAATCTCATTTGCCCTTGGTGTGACTTCTTGCCAGCATCAGTAATTGTATATTTTCTGAACACAGAATGATCAAAATGAGGTTGTGCTTCGTGACTCAGGCTAATGTTTTTAAAATCAAAGGTAGCAATCTTTTTTAACATGTAACTCTGACCTAAAACTAAACTCTAGCATGTACATTTTGTGATCACATTAGTTTCTAAATTAAATTATAATCCTGAAGGAAATAAGTACATTCTTAGTACACTCCCTCCCCCATCCCCAGAGATTAACAGTGCCGCATAACACTTAGCTTTAAACTTAGCTGAGCGATCACCTAGTGTTTAAATTATTTCTCTTTATTTTTACTTCTCCTATTTTTGAGACTACACATCATTTTGAGTGTTAATTCTGGAAAATTATAACTGCAGGATTTTTTTAAAGTTGTTCACATGCAATATACTGCTTCCACTGAAAAAAAGTTTGCTCCCAGATGAAACGAGAAAACTGCCTATTGCTTTGGCCACAGAACATATTCAGAGGCAATAGGTAGCAACTGTTGGACTGAAATAAGTTTTTTTCCTCCTGTGAATTTTTTGTGGTTGTTGGTCCATTCTCCTTTGGCTACCGGCTGTTCATACCTTGGTGTTCGATTGTGTTAGCCCTGTCCTTTTAACATGAAACCATTGGCAGAGAGGAAAACTTACAGAGCTATCCACACTGCAATTTCAATATGCCTCACTGCAGGGAGGGAGAAGTGCACTGCAGTGGCTCCCTGACAAGTACAGCACAGAGAAATTCCCAGGAAGTGGTGAGTGTGGGGAGCAGTGTTCACTTTGCAGCATGAAATGAGAAAGTGAATCTGAAACGAATTCACAACAGCTGAAATAACTTCAGGCACAATGTCAAGATCATGTAACTGAGAAAGGTCTGAACAGATATATGTTTCTGACTCTAGAAAAAGGTGATAATATTTTGCAGCTATTCCCCAACAAATTCACACTCACAGTCTTCAACTGTACCACATCACTCTGCCTTGAAAGCCAGATTTGGTGCTCAGTACATACAGTAATAAAGAATGAGGGGATCCCAGACCAAAGAACAGATAATTAAAATAATGAAAATTTTAACAAAAAAAAAAAAAAAAGGCATGGAGAAAAAATAGTAATAGAACATTTTTAAACAGTGAAAAAAATTAAAAATTGGAAAAATAAAATTAAATAGTAAAGATTTTAAATTGAAAACAACACTCTAAGAGTGAATGCTAATTCAGTGGTACAGCACAAGTCATTCTATGATACTTTCCCTTGCTTTTCTGTGTCTATTGATTCTGGATAGCATGAGTGTGTTGACCCTGTCACAGCCAGGCACTTCCAGACCGCATCCAACACATGTGATCACATGCAGAGATGTTCAAACAAGGTAATCAAAACTGTAGGTAATTCCTGGAAAAGAGACTGTATTTTCTTTTCAGCCAGGTGAAACATTTCCTTTGTTGATTTATTCTATTTTTCCAATGTCTCACAAGTGAGATGTCTCACAAGTGAGATAAGTGACTATGATATCCTGGCTCTGGGATCCTCAATGACCCTACTGCTCTCATTTTCCAATACTCCTTGAAAAAGACTTTTGTGTGGGGAAAATGGAGAGGACAGTCTCCAAGTGCAGCATGTACTTCTGGGAGATGAGGTACCAATCACACTGTAAGTTTGTAGGCACTGATGCCATCTGTGAATATCACATGAGACTCATCCCTTCCAGAGCTGGTGGGCAAAAGGTTAACAGGGTGCTGCTGTCCACATTCTGGTGGTATGTTTCAAATTTATCTTAATACAAGATAAACCTGAGACTTAGATCAACCCACTGACATGCAGAAGAGAATTACCTGTGATCAGATTTATGTGAAGAGAAAATATAGATAGCGTCTGTTATTCCAAATTAAATGCTCATCCCTATGGCCCAGCAATTTCTGGAAAACCTGCGTTTTCAAGAGAGAATGAAGAGTCAGAATTACTTTGAGCCCATGATACTTATCACAAGAACAAGTATTTATAAATTTAACCTCTTAGCCAAAATCTGGAGAAGTACCCTTCTCCCAAATTATACCTGCAGCATGAATTACTGTTTACCTGTCCCAAATGACCAGGTAGAACTCAGTTGCTGTCAAGAGTATCTACACAGTTCTGGAACACAAATAGAGCACCACAGAAATATTTCAGTAAGATATTTTAAACTATACTATCATAATAGGTCATGCAGGGAGATAGCCAACATGCAGCAGCAAACTTATATTACTCATTCACTTGCAAACTTTTTAAACTGCACTGTAAAGTAATGCAAATGCAGGATAGAGGTGAGAAATTTATGCTGGATGAACAAACACAGACCACACTTGCATGAGTAATTTATATAAGAGAAAAAAATATAAAGTAATTTGCATTTGACTAAGAACAGTCTATCCAAAATGAACCTGATGTTGGGTTAGGATCTGATCATGTAGCCCTAGGAACAGACTACATTTAGTTTGAACATGGCATGATTTTTTTGGCTTTTCTACTTCTCATGACTATACCAAACTATGTCATACAGAGTATTTCTACTACTAAATTGACTTAATACATTATGCTTAATGATTGTGTTCAAAGTTTTTAATTTATAGATTATAAGTTGATTTCATGCAGTTTACTTGAAAAAGCAATTGACAGACAAGTAGAAAGTGAGTGATAGAAGAGTAGTAAATGGGAACTAACCACATGAGTAGTGAAAATAGTATTCAGGTCTTTTATTTTATTTATTTTGTATATTTACGGTAACAAATGTCTCAATATAAAAGCAATTAACTAATTTAAACCCATAGCATTCCTTACTGCCCTGGAAAGCTGGACTCCTCACAGCTACTCCATGCAGAATGTCCTTCAGAAAGTAGCTTCAGATATTTTACAAGTAACAGCCAAACAATTTGGATTTCTGCCAGCACATTGATCTTTGCATCTCCCTGATAAATGATGTCAGTGTAGTGCTAGTCCAGTTTTCAGAAGACTCCCAAGTTGTGTGGGTTTTTGTGCTACATGCCTGATTAGAAAGTTAAACTTCACCACCATAAGTGCCAAGCTGTCACCAGGGCACCTCTAATTGCATTCGCTCCCTGCCTCAAGCAGCAGCTGACATTTCTGGTGCAACATCTGGCAGCAAAACCACAGCTGGTGTATACAATAGGCAGTAGAAATACATAATAGGTGTTCTCTGGGGAAAATGCAAAAGGACAAACAAGAAAAGCACGGTATAAGCTTTAGTTGTGTAGTATGAACAAATATCTACTAGTGGGTATACTCTGAGTCTTAAGTTATG